GAACTTGCTCGCTCATTGTAAACTAAGTGGATGTGGTCTCTGTGGTTGCGGCATACCCACCGCACCTTGATATATTTGCGTGTTGTTATAGAATTATTCCTAGTAAACCCTCAACATGTACGCCGATAGGCAGAGAGGAGTTTTTGTGTTTTCCTAATAAATCGTCAACGACTCAACGCGTTTCACATTACTCTATGAGCGGAGTTTTCCTTCAAACCAAAATCATCAACATTTTGGTAAACCCACTGGCGAGCCCCGCAGCGGGAAATGAGAAAAATTCGAAGTTCTCTGAAATCTTGCTCATAGGGGTTATCTGATCTGCTGATTACGAAATTCATATCTGCTTAAGCCAGCTTTGTATTTTAGGGTTATGATGAATAGAATATGGGACGGCGCAAATTTTCTTCAGAACTCATCAGCCCTTCTCTTTCCTTTGTAAAGAGTTTAGGCCAATTTCTAGTGTATCATAATTTACAACAGTACTATCGAATAGTACTTACTGGTATCTCTTACGTTGGATAGGCGCTGCGTTACATTTTTGCGAAAAAGCCTCCGCAGAAAGATTTAAGAATACTGAAAGCGGAGTAAAGAGGGCAATCGAACATAACACTGCCTCCGGCAGAATGTACTCATTTCGAAGGAAGTCTGGCGCTATTAGTTTGCGTGATTCCCATGATTCCGCGGAGTTCCCATAGTTCCGCGACGTTCGCGGAAAATTTGCACATTCTGTGAGCGGGCGGTATAGTACCTTGAGCTGATTTAGAACAAATTCGAACACAGTAACTCTCTACCGTACTCCTACGATATCCCTACAATGGCCATCAGAGCAAATCAACGGCAATATCGTTATCAGCGAAGTGGACTATCCAGTCAAACAAAAACCTGCAAAATTGAGCAAAAACTTGCTGTTAACCATATACCTGCCGTACTCCTACAATTGGGTCACTTCTTTATACTGCATGGTGCGTTTCGCCAAGTTGAATCGAACAGTATTTCTGGTTTCAAAATAAGTTCATTCTGAAGCGGGATATGACGATGCGACGCGGATTCCGGCGCACTTTAGTAATGTGCGTCGCACTCCGCTGCTCTCCGAACGCACTCTAGCGCGCTCAGGCACACTCTGCCGCGCTCCGACGCATTAGAGCGCACTGTGGCGCAGTCCGCTAAAGTGCGGCGACTTTCTTTGACGGATTATGAGCGGTATTGTATGCATGGTGTTTGCGTTCCATTTCTTGGATTTCTGGACTATTCCTACTTTGTTGAGTACACTAAAATCCATGTGATTATTGTTGATCTGCGGTTGGTACTACTGACAACATATTTGCGAGTGTGGAAGCTATCTGGGCCTGTAGTAAACCCCACTCGAGTCGTGACGACTCGCTCGGAGCACGGCAAGTGCCTTTCTGGTGCCCCCCCCCCCCCCCTGATAAGGGATAGGCGACGTGACCAAGGCATATGCCCGGCATAACGCTGCGGCAACGCCGCCGGCACGACAAGGCAGCACCAGCGTGCACGTCGTGCAGACAATCAGGAAATGCAGAGAAGTCGTGGTGCCGACAAACGACTAGCGTCGAGTACGTCTGGGGTGGTGGTGCGCCCGCTGTCCGTAGATGCACGCAAAGGATCAAAACGCACGTCAAATACAATCAATATGAACAGAATAACGCACAGACGCGAGTCGCACAGCTAAATTTTTTCCCTGCTATCATTACTTCTGATATTTGCCTCGCAAATTAGACAAGGTAAATCGATTTTGATAAGCATGCACCTTCGGGTCCTTTCCAGCCAAATTTGCTTCTCTTAAGCGGTTTTTAGCTTCGATGTTTGTTTTGCAGCCACTTTGCTCTTGATAATTTTCTGCATGCCATAATTTTATAATTTCTTGCAATTTATGCACTTTTCATCAAAACCATTGTCTTTTTTTGCTTTTCACTAGCTGTGCACCGGTTGCTTTCCTTTTATTTGAGTAAGAAAACGATTTGGTGCTATTGCTAATGAAATAGCATAATTTGTAAATTTTCAATATATTAGGTCGTTCCGAAAGTAATGTCGCTTTTTTCAAATGAACGCCACAATTCATGGGATTGAGATTTTCCAGAGATCTTAGGAGCATTCGATACAGCATTTCATTCTCTTTCTAATGGTTGTAATATCATTGCATAATCTTCAATGAGCCCTCGAGAAATTACCGAAACCTGCTACTCATGCTTTTTGCCATGGTCAAATTCGGCTATTTTTCTAAATTTTTGTACCTATTCTCCGAAGAAGTGCAAGTGGCAGTTAGATAGAGCAAACCCTGTAGAACACAATTGATTTTTTTCTTTTCCTTAGCTTGCTTCTTTTACTTTCTGGAACCAATTTTTCAATGCCATCAAATTCCATATTTGGTCAACTCAAATCTCACAGAACAACAATCGGCAAGCAGCTCGGGTGTCATTTGACGTAGCTTTTTCTCCTCTTTCTACCAGCTGTTTTTTGTTTCCGATTCATCAAGTTTTCCATGATAAAACCATCATAATTCAGGTTTTCCAGGGCGCCCTAGGCTGTACCGGGAATTTTCGAAAGTTGCTAATCTGAAGCGGTAAACGCTTATTTGCTTTGTAAAATTAGTGTTAAACCATAATCCATCTTTGTAAATTTCAAAATCCGAAGATTTACTGGTGTTTGATGCATTTGTGTCTGAGACGAGTCTGCTAAAATTCGGTGCTTTTATCAAAAAATCTCTATAAAAATTATGACAAGCTCTGGAAAGTAGAAAAAAATTGTGCTGTTTCCTGTAGGGTTTGCTCTATCCGTCCATTACTTGGACTCCTTCCGAGGGTTGTTATAAAAACTTAGAAAAATATTGAAACTTGGCCTTTTCAAAAGGCATGGGTCGCAAATTTTGATAATTTTTCGAGAGGTTATTGGATTCTGTGCAGTGATTATGTAACCATCAGAAAGAGAATGAAATGCTGCATCATACGCTACCAGAATCTCTTAGATATCTTTGTTCCACGATGTGTGGTGTACGTTTGAAAAAAGCGACATTACTTTCAGAACGACCTAATATCATCAATATTCTGTTTGCACATCCAAAAGCCTTTCAAGTCCTTATAATCACTAAAAAAACTTGACATGCATGTGTTTTTTCATATCACTTTGCAAAAAATCTGCTGTCATTGTGGTTTGTGCTCGAGAATTGCAAAAAATCTGCTGTCATTGTGGTTTGTGCTCGAGACTCTAGCTCGGAAACGTGCGACACAGGCACTGCGCTATTCGCAGTGATATCTCCGTTTAGATATCACAAACCTAGTGTTTACGATAGCAACGTGATAGCTGTATGTATACTCACCGGTGACACTCGTCTTTAAAATGAGGCTGCTTACAAATTTCAACATATTAGCTTGAGTGCCTATCCTTCTACCTCATGCACCTTTCTACTGCTCAGAGTTCTAACAAGGACATTGCCTATAGCTGCGCGCGCCACTCGATGCGGTCTGCGGATTCGATGACTGCTGATCGCAGGGCTTTTTGCGAAGGCGGCCAACGCCCTTCATGCCCAATTATTGCTCGCATTGAACGGTTATGACCGCGTCTTCTCTGAGTTGTGACGACTTTGGGGGAATTACTACTGGCCCTGATATTTTACCGCATTTCTACTGATCTGATGCTTACGGCTGCCTAACACATTTTTAGAGATAAAGGTTGTTCTCAAAGATCATTCAAAATTAGCCTTTCAGTGTTTTCTAGAAATTAATACAATCTTCTAGTCTAGCAGTCTACTGTGAATGTTTATACTTTTGGTTTTGTTCTGCTAAATTATCACCTCTTTATGAAAGCATGTAAGTTCGGGTTTCAGTTAGAAATTGTCAATAGTTTGTTCCATTTACAGGTTATCGAATGCAGCTTATTATTGCCAATGTGTGATATTCAAAAGAAGATAAAACATTCTTGACTTAATGGCGCATTCGGAACGGTCGTCCAACGATATGTGCACCCGTTGAGCCAAATGATCTCTCTGTACAGAAAAAATTATTAGATTTGCATATAGCTTTATTTTTTGATGAATCTGTCTGCTTGTACTTGTGAAGATGTTTTTTAAAACAGTTCTTTTTCCTTTTCTGCTGAACTCGAATTTGAGATTATATTTACGCTGAATCCGACGTTCTCTATGTAGCTAAAAACAATTCTAGCTCTTGCAAAAATATCGGTTTGTGTTCTTCGTATCTGATAATTTTAGCAAAACTATAAGAAAATCTTTGTTTCCAGCAGGCCTCGATGATCTTGTCAAAGTTATAAATATCCCTGCTTCTAAATCGAGCGTACGACAGAATATGCAAGACCGCCGATTGTATCATCTGAGCTTTGAAAAACTATACGGCTGCATGGAATTAGGAGTGGTATATTTCATAACCTGTCAAAAAATACGGTGATCAATACATAAGAAACATCGGCAGACCCTCGTGCAGAAGAATCAAAACATCTTGATGCCTTAGAAAATCCAAAATGTCCACACCTTTGGGTGCACATCGAAGGTTATGTCGTGAGAACAGTACTTTCAAGTCACTGTCACGATCTTGTCGCACGAATCGGAGTCAATGGCCGCAAAACATTGGAGGCCTTTTGAATAGCGTCTAAACCACCAAAAATGAACCGCAAAGATGAAGGCATTACTATAAACATCAAATGTTTTCCTATCAAACCTGTGTGGATTCTAATACGAAATCTTACATAACCATATAAGGGCATTGTGTACAGTGACTATCATATAAGGGCATTGTGTACAGTGACTATCATACTCACTCATAGTGCAACAGCAGCGCAGTACTGGTTGTTCGTTCTCTACATTCCGATTTGAAAAGGCTGAAGTCAGGCTTACACATCTATTCGCTAATCCATCAGAAAAGTTAGACTGAATTTACTGCCAAACAGGGCGTTTGAGCAGGCAGTTCTCAAAGTCTCAATCTTTCAGGTCCTGATGAAGGCGGACGGACGGAATGACTGTATTACAATTGAATCACCATGCCAAGATTTATCGACAATCGAGCACAAAACATCACTTTCCATCTTGAGGTACAGGTTCTGGTGCTGGTGCACCATTTCCTCTTCTGATATTTCCAATTGCGCGTACAATGTCTCTCGCACCGTTAGCGATGTTCGGAAGGTTTTCGAATATTCCTCTAATTTTATCGAGAATTCCGCATTCACCAACGTCCACAGCAGAGAGAATCTATAAGCATTAAAAGTAATGTAAAGTCAGCAAGTCTAAGGAGTCAAATCGTTAACTATATTATGTCTTGCTTGGTCAACGTACCACTAAGATGGTAAGTAACAAAAAGGTAAGGTTGAAAATTCTCATTCTTGTCGAACTGACGTGAAGTGCCTGGAAAGAATATTTTGAGAAATAAGCGGTACATAGAGCGCTTGATAAAACGACGAAAACACGAGACTTCGGCATAATTGATAGAGAAACAAATGGGTTATGGGACTATATGTAGGCGGAAATGGGAGGTTCAGTTGGACACAAATACACCTTTTAGCACATGCACAGGATGAGTATCTGCTGCATCATCCGCGTTAAATCCTCCCACTTTCGGCGGCATATAGTCCTCTACCAAAACAAATGATCTTCTGAGAGCAAGGGAAATCACGAGTTTACAATTTGATTTTCCTGCTATGTAATTCCTAGGCATTTGTAAGAGACAATGTCGCAGTGTAAGTCAAAATTAAAACATCATAAAGTCGTGCACAATATGCAACTCTGTCACCAACTATTTTGCTTGTTCAACTGTAAATTCATCAGCTTCTCTCTTTAAACAATAATATTGGTAATTGCCTTTTCAAAAAAAAGCAAATAAAGCTTGCGTTCAATCAAGTTCTACCCAAATTTTTCGGTTGCTTATATTTTCCCTTGACTCTCCAAAGCTATAGACTATCAAATGGGTTGTTTTTGAGCCACAGCAGAACTTAGCAAGGGTCAATTTTGCCTACACATGCTTATGCACAAAAGAAGGAATTTAACGAAATGGAAAAGAGGATGACCAGGAAGTTACTGAAGGTCGGGAGTTCCTAATACTGTCAAAATCTTTTCAATCGAGATTCCTCTACCAAAAGAGTTGCTTGGAATCAGCACACAAAAATTTTGCCTTAATCCAACACTTTAATTATCCGCGATGTCGGACTATGAAATTATAACCTTTCGAAGGTCCAAATTTCGCAGACATTTTGCGCCACATTTATGGGAACTAGCTGTTTAAAAACACCTATTGTGTCTCCGGTGAATGTGAGCACCCCTTGAAACCTGTACATCAAATATCTTGCTAGTCATGCACTCCTAAGTTAGATCTTATAGCACATTATGCATTAGAGCTACAGTGATTTTATAGATTTGAATGAATTATCTACCAATTTCCAACTAGCTGTTCGGGCCATGATTAACGATTGCCCGAACAGGAGAGAACCCCAATCCCGTGTCACCAAACTTCAGAGTGTCCGATCTGGCAAGTTTGGCCATGTCGAGCAGCAGAGCCCGATCTCAACAGGTCGGGCTCCGCTGCCAGGCTGCTGTGCCCAACATTGCCAAACTTGCCAGATCGGACCATATTCACCGATAGAGAAGCTCGATCACCAGCTTGGCTTGGTGTATCGCGGGCGCTAGCGCCCGCGTTCGTACGGGGCCGTTACTTATACAGGATCCCATTCCTAAATAAGGGATTGATAAACGCGCCTAGTATCGTTGCTTCCCCTTTGTACTTTGGGTTCGAACGTCTTGGTGACTTATCAAAACTCAACTGCAGGTCTAGTTCTTTGTACGCCACATATATATCATACGTTGTCTTATGTGGCAGAGTTGGTAGCGAGAGATTACAAAGAACATTGCAATAGAGGGTGCATAAGATCACCAAACGAGTTCTCTGCAAGTGCTCCCTCCAAATATACCGGGGAGGAGATGATAGCAAGACTAATTAAAGTATGCTGTGAAAATGCGTAAGGGAATAAAAAACTCTACAAATGGTTCGATATTTATGAGCACTGACATCTTTCAACTGAATTACTCCCTATGTATTGCAGTAGCCGAAAATTTTCAAGATGCGGATACCTTTGATAGAATTTATACCACTGAATTCGTCTCACACGTATGGCACCCACGTCTGTCTTTTCTTCAACTCACGAAAAATATTGTGAGTTGCACAGACTACAGTGAGATGTACCTTCCAAGCGTAATATGATATCCTAATCACAGTCCGATATTCCTATAAAAACGCTTCCGTGAAGATATTAGTTTGGCCCGATTAGTTAGCACCATTTTGAGAAGTTTATAGGTTCTTACTTTCCAAAGCATTTGCTTTTCCGAAATTTTGAACTTGTCCAAAAAGGTATTTATGCACTTTACAAAAGCTTACAAAATAATTTCTAATTCGCAAACACAGCAGTGATAGATTACGAATAAAATTTGTAGGGTTGTCAGAAATGTGAACCAGGGCCGGGACAAGGATAGCAAATAGTCCTTTATAGCGATTACACCTTTGCCGCTTTGATTTCACTATCTTCCCTTAATCGCACCAACTGCGCAGGCAATTTGAAAAAAGCGCGTTTTTTTCAAAAGCCGAGACCCATTTGTTCTTTCAAACTCTAGCAGAGGAGAGGAAATGTTGAAGAGGAAGTCGCTCTAATGATCACGCAAATGTCACAAATGTCAGGATTGTTGCATTACATACAAGTACTTATATACTCTGCAAACTCTCAAAGTATCTACCTCGACTCTGCATGAGGCGAAGCTGCCTTGTTCACTATAGGATCGCAAAGTTCACACATGAGTGCCTCGCTGCTTACCAAGAAGCAAAGCGCAGGGTTGTGAAAAGAAAGAATTTTACTGTATACTCTGGAATTTATGGTATAAATGCACCTCTTCAAATAAGGCTGGGCTAGGATACCAGAAAAGAAAAGGTCAACATTTCTGTTTTACCTATCACATAGTACTTTTGTCGGCATTGAAGCGGTTGCAAAATAGGATAATATAATGTTGACTGTAATGGATTCTGCTGGAGGCTTGCACCCTGGCCTCGATAGGAATATTTGTGGAAGGCAAGCCTACAGCATTTGAAGCGAGAAATCAAGAGCGTATGATTGACACGGACACAACCTCCTTGTTTACACTTATATAGCCTTGTATCAGTCACATGAGAGTACTTTTTTAATCGCTTGTATATAATCAGCTTTGAAGATTTAGATAAAGAAAATCTCTTGACAGATTGTAACAAAAAATTTTGTTAGTCCTTGAACCAGCCCGCAACTCGTGACTAAGTGTGCGTTACTTGTGACCAAGTACGTCGAATAACAATTTAACGATGCTTTGGAGCTTTCAGATGATTCTGCCATTCGACGTGGAGGAAGTCTTTGTTTAATCACGCAACTCAATAAATTACCCCAGTCGCATTGCCATCAATTGAATTTTGCAATGCTTAAAATCGAATGGTATTTTTATGAATATGGTGCTCAAAATTGTTTCTTACCGAAATGTTAGATGTCAAACTATTGTCAATATCAAAATTGTCAAAAAAATTTTCGAATAAAGTATCGTTGCAAATACTCACTTCGATCAAGGCCTGATGAATGAACGCCCAAAGTTCATTTCTCTCCGAAATTGAATTTTTGATAACATGCTGTGAATTTATGTTTAAACATGTAAACACAAAACTACACTATAATTGTCGTGCATGATGCTTGTTTTGAACTCACACCAGAAACTGTAAAAAATTTGAATTTATGCTCTACAAAAGCAAGTACTAACTTCCTTTTGTACTCATAATTTTTATTTTTTTAGGGCCATTAGATCACAACGTGCGCTTCTGCATGCTTCGTGATTCGGAACTCCATTCTGTTCATCTTCATCTAAGTATAATATTCGGTTACGGCAAACGTTTCGTGAACGTCTTTCAGCCAGATTTTTAGCCGATTATGATTTCTGAAGTAAATCGGTGATTTGATGACAATAGTTTTATCAAGAAGAGCTGAGTGGTGTGTTTTAGTGATGCAATAAATAATTATCAGATCATCTGTGTATTGTTATTGAGAATCATTTACAGCAAGCTCCTTAGCGATAGCTGATAGATTGCATCGAAAATCTGCTTCGTCGTCTCAGTCTTTTTTGCTTCTCTACAGTATAGGACGAAATAGTGTGTGCTTAAACACACTTTAATAGTACTGGTTGCACTCCAATAGTCAGCTCCATGGCCTCAAATTCCAAACGAAACAGTAAGCGCTGATTACTACATACAAACTCACTCAAATGCATAGATGCAAGTTCTTGAAAAATTGTGAATAGGCGATGTGCCTGTGCATTCTTTGCGGTAACTCCGCGACATGAAGGTAGTAGTTTATGCTTTTTTCCAATTTTCAATGTCGCAAAAGCTTTTCTCTTCAATGCTCGTCGTTCTTAACTCCACGATATATAATGAATGCAGTACTTTGTGCCTAAAATAAAAAAACATTAAAATTTTTTAATTTTTAAAGGGACGAAAAAGCTTGTCTCTTTAATGCTCGTCGTTCCTATTCGTAATACTTGAACATTATAAAAATCGTATATTCCGAATAACAAATTTTTTGATATTTTTGGTGTACTTAAATAGTCATCACATTTCGCCGAAAATGCTAATGTAGTCGTACAGTACCTTGACAGCTCACTGCAGTGCGATATGATACGTTAGAATGCGTCAAATTTTTGCTTTCAGTTTAGGATTTGTAAGTGTTGTGGTCTTCTTCTTTTTGTGGATCCGGGACACGATTAGCAGCAGGCTTTATTGGCGTTTGGTACAAATGACAGAAGCGAGGAATGAAGGAATGGAAGAATAAACGATGAATATTACCGCAAAAGGAAGCTCTCATATAGCCTATAAGGATGGTTGTAAACAAAAGAGATATATACAGGGTGCGACAAAAGTTTGAGAGCCTAGTACTTTTCCGTACAAAGCGAGAAGGGAAGTACAGTCGAGTAGATTTAGCGGTAATTATAGTGTGCTTGCACAGAAGGTGAAATGCGGCGAAACTTGCGCGTGAACAAGCAGCCACGCCAGTACTGCGGGTATTTTGCGCGCGCAATTGGCCGGCGTCACAGTCGAAGCTATTTCTTCACGCGCCAATTTTACCGCATTTCACCTTCTGTGCAAGCACACTATATTTACCGCTAAATCTACTCGACTGTACATATAAACGAAAAATTTGGCGCACACATAATTCGAACCATTGCAGATACAGCCCAGTTCTTGAATTGCAAAACTGCCTCTTTTGGATTGCACGCAGCCCTACAAAATCTTAGCAAGTCCACCTGTCATGGCACGCAGGTATTCGTAATGAAATTCGCTTCACGCCTTCACAGTAACTGCTTCTTTTACTTTAAAGTTTGCTCTATCATGCTTGGCAAATGCCCAGCATGATAGAGCAAACTTTTGTCTGCAACATACTTCCAAAAGAATTATTTGTTGCTTAGAAATAAAAATATTGGATTTTCAATTAGAAGCATGTGTACGTCGCATAACGGAATTTTGGCTACAATTGCTCGAATAAAAACTTAAAAATACCGTTTAAAAAGTATAAAAAGTGTTCCAATGGCCGAATTTCAAAGAATCTAATTTAGAAGACGTATGCAAAAAATACACCCTTGATTTCAGTGCCTGTTGAGCATTCTACAGCTGTAACATTCGCAAACTTTTAC